AGTTGTATCAAAACTAATTGGCTTATTTAATAAATTTGACTATGTGGGAAAGCATTATTAAAAAAAAAAAAGTCAGTGGCATTTCTATATAGTAATAGCAAACTATCTGAAAAAGAAATCAAGAAAACAAATCCTTTTACAGTAACTTCAAGAAAATTAGGTAAGGGATGAATTTAACCAAAGAGGTGAAAGACCTCTATTATAAAACTTTGAAGAAGGAAATTGAAGAGAACATAAATAAATGGAAATATATCCCATGTTCATGTATTGGATGAATTAATATTGTTAAAATGGCTATTCTGCCCAAAGCACTCTACAGATTTAATGCAATCCCTATCAAAATACCAATGACATTCTTCACTGAAATAGAAAAAAAAAAATCCTGAAATTCATATGAAGTCAAAAAAGAACTCGAATAGCCAAAGCATTCCTGAGAAAAATGAAAACTGGAGGCATCTCACTACCTGACTTCAAACTATACTACAAAGCTATAGTAACCAAAGCTGCATGGTACTGACATGAAAACAGACACATAGACCAATGGAACTGAATAGAGAGCCCAGAAATAAATTCACATACCAATAGCCAACTAATCTTTGACAAAGGTGCCAAGAATACATATTGGGGAAAAGACAGTCTCTTCAGTCAGTGGTGCTGGAAAAACTGGATATCTTCATGCAGAAGAATGAGACTAGACCCCTACCTCTCACCATGTACAAAAATCAACTCAAAATGAATTAAAGATTTAAAACCCAAAACTATGAAACTAGTAGAAGAAAACAGGAGAAATGATCCATGATGTAGGTTGGGCAGGGTTTTTTTAAAATAAGACTTCAAAAGCACAAGCAATAAAAGGAAAAGTAGATAAGTGGGATTACATCAAACTAAAAAGCTTCTGCACATCAAAGGAAACCATTAATAGAGTGAAGAGACAACCTACAAAGTGGGAGAAAATATTTGCAAACTATACATCTGACGAGGTTTGTATCAAGAATGTATAAGGAATTTAAACAACCCAACAGCAAAAAAAAAAAAAAAAACCCAATTGAGAAATGGGCAAAGGATATTAAAAGATCCTTTCTGGGCCGGCCCGGTGGCGCACTGCTACAGTGCACCGCTTGAGAGCGCAGTGGCGCTCCCGCCAAGGGTTCGGATCCCACATACAGACCGGTTCCCGCTCACTGGCTGAGCGAGGTGTGGGCGCAACACCGAGGGTTGCGATCCCGTTGCCAGTCCTGGTCCGGTAAGGGGGCGACACTGAGGGTTGCGATCCGTTGCCGGACACGAAAAAAGACAAAAAAAAAAAAAAGATCCTTTCTGAAAACATTTCTCAAAAGACATATGAGTAACTGGCATAGGAAAAAGTGCTCAACATCATTAATCATCAGGGAAATGTAAATCAAAACAGCAATGAGAGACTACCTCACTACAGTTAAGAGTGGCTATTATCAAAAAGACAAAAGAAAACAAGTGTTGGTGACGACATGGAGAAAGGGAACACTTGCATACTGTTGGTGGGAGTGTGAACAGTATAGCCATTATGGAAAACAGTATGGAGGTTCCTCAAAAAATTGAAAATGGAACTACCTCTTGATCCAGCAATCCACTACTGGGTATATACCCAAAGGAAATGAAGGCAGTATGTCAAAGAGATATCTGCACTCCCGTGTTTATTGAAGCACTATTTATAGTTGCCAAGATATGAAAACAACCTAAGTGTCCAACAATGGAGGAATGGATTTTAAAATGTGGTATATATACACAATGTAATATTATTCAGCCATAAAAAGAGTGAAATCCTGTCATTTGCAGCAACATGGATGGACTTGGAGGTCATTGTGTTAAGTGAAGTAAGCCAGGCACAGAAAGACATACAACATGATCTCACTTTTATGTGGAATCTAAAAGAAAAAAAAATTGATATAGAGACAGAGTTAGAACAGTGGTTAACAGAGGAGTAGGGATGGGAGGACGGAAGGGAAAATGGAGAGGTTGGCCAACAGGTACAAAATTACAATTGGATAGGAGGAATAAGTTGTAATGTTCTCTTGCACTGTTGGGTGTCTGTGGTAAACAGTTAAGTTTCATAGGCTTTTGAATGCTTTCGCCACAAAGAAATGATAAATGTGAGAGGTGATTGTTACACTAACTACCATGACCAGATCATTATACAGCATATATATGTACCAAAACATCAGATTGTACCATAAGTATATATAATAATATATAATTAATTATATCATAAGTACATATAATGTGTTAAATAATTTAAAATTTTTTTTGATTTTACAAATATAATAATTTGAAAATCCATCTACTCCTATGTTCAATAAAGTTAGATTTTGGGGGGGGGGACAGCTGGCCATAGGGGGATCTGAACACTTGACCTTGGTGTTAAATTTTTATTTTAAAAATTATAAGAGGTGCCTGGCTAGCTCAGTTAGAGCTCAGCCTTGTAAGAGCAAGGTCATGGGTTTGGATTCCCATACCAGCCAGCCACCAAAAAAAAAAAAAAAGGACTAAGTTATTTTTAGTGCTGGCTGGTAAGCTCAGTTGGCTAGAGAACAGCCTTGTAGCACCATCAAGGGTTCAGATCCCCATACTGGACAGCCGCCAAAAAAAAAATTAAATATTAAATGAAATTATAGAATTAAGCTGGCCAGTTAATTCAGTTGGTTAGAGTGTGGTGCTGATAACATTGAGGTTCAGGGTTCTTTTTTTTTTTTTTTTTAGTCTTCGATTTTTTATTACTCACAAAAGCTTAATTTTTTGTTTAGCTTTCTGACTCTGTGCCCATGCCTTCCACACTTTCACAACAATTTTCTGCTCCTCAGTAAGGAAAGCACACTTGATCCTGTCAGACACACGCAGCACACATGGAGCCACCACAGGCCCTGCTGACATGGTTTTTCATTTTAGACAACCTCATAAGAATGTTAGGTCTCACAGCATGAACCCTTCGAAATCTGCCTGGACACACGCCACATGCAGACTTTGGTGCTTTCCCAATCTTCTTGGTATAAAAGGCCAATGATTCTATTACCAGGGGTTCAGGACAGTCCAATTTCGTTAGAGGTTGTGTTGTAGGAAAGCTACGACAGCATGTCATGTGCTGGGCCATTCTAAGGGCCTCTAGACACTGTCCCCAGAAGAGGAAAAAGCAAGGTCCGGGGTTATATCCTGTCCTGGCCAGCAAAACAAACAAAAGAAACAAATTATAGAATCATTTAAATCCCTGTTATTCATAATAACATTATTATCCCAAGGACTAAAGTGATACAAGCACAAACTGACCTTCCTCTCTCCCCCTATGCTCTTTTTTTTTTGTGAAATTTTTTTTAACCATCTTTACCATTTATAAGTGTACAGTTCACTAGTGTGAAGTACATTCAAATTGTTGTGTAAGAGATCCCCTTTTGTTCCCCTTTTCCCCCACCCCCATCCCCCATAACCATTTTGCTTTCTATTTCTATGAATTTAAGTACTTTAGATACCTCATATAAGTGGAATCAGACAGTATTTGTCTTTTTGTGACTGGCTTATTTCACTTAGCATAATGTCCTCAAGGTTCATTCATTCTGTAGCAAGTGACAGGACTTCCTTCCCTTTAACCAACACATCAGGCACTTTCATGCTTCTGTACTTCCTGCTCTCTTCTCTGAGAGCTCCACCATCTGCTTGGCTCTCTACCAATCTTCTTTCATTTTTCAAATTTCAGCTCTCTGATGGTGGTCTTTTTTTTTTTTTTTTTTTTAAAGATGACGGGTGGGGCTGGCCCGGTGGCGCACTGCTACAGTGCACCGCTTGGGAAGCGTGGCGGCGCTCCCGCTGAGGGTTCGGATCCCACATACAGACCGGTTCCCGCTCACTGGCTGAGCGAGGGGCGGGCGCAGCGCCGAGGGTTGCGATTCCGTTGCCGGTCCCGGTCCGGTGCGGGCACGACACTGAGGGTTGCGGTCCGTTGCCAGACACACACACACAAAAAAAGATAAAGATGACCGGTAAGGGGATCTTAACCCTTGACTTGGTGTTGTCAGCACCACGTTCTCCCAAGTGAGCTAACCAGCCATCCCTATATGGGATCCAAACCCATGGCTTTGGTGTTATCAGCACCACACTCTCCCGAGTGAGCCACGGGCCAGATGCTGATGGTTGTCTGATTTCCCAAGCAGGCTTCAGATATTTTACTCCTGACACACTTTCCCTCATGCCATTTTACCATGCATGAGCTTACATTAAATAATTATTTTATTTTATTTTTTTGCATGTCTGTCTCCCCGTGAAATTTCTGAGCTCTGTAGGCAAGAATCATATCTTTTTGTCTTTGTTTTCTTCAATGTCATAATAATGCTTATTATGTAGAAAGCATTATAAAAAAGTGTGGATGGAACAGATGAGTCACAGACATTCTGGGTTCTGTAGTTTGAAAAAGGAAGATATGAAGGCTTTGACATTATACGAGAACTTCACACTCCTCCTGTAGCTTTTAAATTCAAGTCTACACACAGCCTATTGTCATTTGAATTCTGTATTGGTGAAACCATTCACTTTGGAATATTTCTACATGAACTGACTCTTTCATATCCAATAAGACATAATCCTTTGAAACCCAATATCTTTTTAACTACTTTATTGTTTTTTTGCAGCATAAACTTGAATGCGATTTGCAGCAGAGGGAAGGAGAGATTGCTGAATTGCAAAAAGCTCTAAGTGATATGCAGGTCTGCCTCTTCCAGGAACGAGAACATGTTTTACGCCTGTACTCAGAAAATGACCGACTGAGAATCAGGTACCAAGTAGGAGAATGGAAATGTTGGAGTTATAATTCTAAATTACATTTAAATTTCTTGGCTGACTGATTAGCTGAATTGGTTAGAGCACAGCCTTGTAACACCAAGGTCACAGGTTCAGATCTAATCCCTGTACATTCCAGCTGCTAAAATAAAAACAAAAATAAAAAAATAAATTTCTCTACAGGCATTCTCCTAGGTTGTACCCCCCAGGAAACAGACTCTGAGGTGATTTGCCTGCAGGTCAGTTTTTGGTGAGGCACTCAGGATTAACACCTATGAACAGATTTGGCTTCTTTCATGGGCAGGGGGAGAATTTGAACTGTGATGTGCCAGTAACAGAAACCTTAGTCACAGGGATCTCTAAGGCTAGAGTGGCATTTCAGAGGCCAAGTATTTGGACTTTTGTGTCTCATGTTGACCAGTCATTGGATACAGGCTGCCCCCGTGTGAGAGGAAGCTCCAATTCAACCAGTTCCTGGAGAAGCACTCAGCTCCAGGGAGATGGGTACTTGGTCTTCAAGGGGGCATCTGAGCAGTACACTACAGCACCCACTACAGTGCACTTCTTTGTGCGTGGAGGGGCAGGGGGTGTAAAATACACATAACATAATATTTACTATTTTAAGTGTATGGTTCAGTGGCATTAAGTATGTTAAGTACATTCATGTTCTGCAACCATCACCACCGTCCAACTCCAGAACTTTTTCATATTCCCAAACTGAAACTGTGTACCCATTAAACATTAACTCCACATGTGCCCCTTCCTCCAGTGCCTCGCAACCGCCATTCCACTTTATGTCTCTATGAGTTTGACTACTCTAGGTACCTCATGTAAGTGGAATTATACAGTATTTTTCCTAGTGCGTCTGGCTTATTTCACTGAGCATAATGTCTTTAGGATTTATCCATGTTGTAGCATGTGTCAGAATTTCCTTCCTTCTTTTTTTTTTTTTGTCTTTTGTCTTTTTTCCGTGTCCGGCAACGGATCGCAACCCTCAGTGTTGCCCCCGTACCGGACCGGGGACCAGCAACGGGATTGCAACCCTCGGTGTTGCTCCCGCGCCTCGCTCAGCCAGTGAGCGGGAACCGGTCCGTATGTGGGATCCGAACCCTCGGACAGGAGCGCCGCCGCGCTTCCCAAGCGGCGCACTATCCAGTGCGCCGCTGGGCCGGCCAGAATTTCCTTCCTTCTTAAGGCTGAATAATATTCCTTTGTGCATACCACATTTTGTTTATTCAGTCATTCATCATTAGACACTTGGGGTGTTTCCACATTTTGGCTATTGTGAATAATGCTGCTGTGAACTTGGGTGTACAGGTATCTTTTTGAGACCCTGCATTCAGTGCTTTTGGGTATGTACCCAGAAGTGGAATTCTGGGTCATATGGTAATTCTATTTTTAATTTTTTTGAGGAACTGCCATACTGTTTTCCATAGCAGCTGCACCACTTTACATTCCTACCAACAGTGCATAAGGGTTCCAGTTTCTCCACATTTTTGCCAGCACTTATTTTCTGTTTTGTTTTTTATAGTAGCCATTTTAATGGGTATGAGAGGATATCTCATTATGGTTTTGATTTTCATTTATTTTTTTATTGCGGCTGGCCAGTACAGGGATCCGAACCCTTGGCCTTTGTACAAGGCAGTGCTCTAACCAGCTGAGCTAACTGGCCAGCCCTGATTTTCATTTCTGTAATGACTAATAATGTTGAGCATCTTTTCATGTGGTTATTAGCCATTTGTCTTTTTTAGCGAAACGTCTATTCAAGTCCTTTCCTGTTTTTTAATTGGGTTGTTTTGTTATTGTTGTTGAGTTCTAGGTGTTCTTTATATATTCTGTATATTAAACCCTTATCAGGTATATGATTTGCAAATATTTTCTCCCATTCCATAGATTGCCTATTTATTATCTTAATAGTGTGCTTTCATGCACTGGAGTTTTTAATTTTGATGTAGTCCAATTTTTCTATTTTTTCTTTTGTTGACTGTGCTTCTGGTATCCCATCTAAGAAATCATTGTGAAATCCAAGGTCAGAATGCTTTTCCCGGGCCGGCCCGTGGCTCACTCGGGAGAGTGCAGTGCTGATAACACCAAGGCCCCGGGTTCAGATCCCATATAGGGATGGCCGGTTCGCTCGCTGGCTGAGCGTGGTGCTGACAGCACCAAGTCAAGGGTTAAGATCCCCTTACCGGTCATCTTTTAAAAAAAAAAAAAAAGAATGCTTTTCCCCTATATTTTCTTCTAAGAGTTTTATAGGTTTTTGTTTTTTTGTTTGTTTTTTAAAGAGATGACCGGTAAGGGGATCTTAACCCTTGGCTTGGTGTTGTCAGCACCACACTCACCTTATGAGCCAACTGGCCATCCCTGTATAGGGATCCGAACCCGTGGCATTGGTGTTATCAGCACCACACTCTCCCGAGTGAGCCACAGGTTGGCCTGAGTTTTATAGTTTTAATTCTTATGTTTAGGTCTTTGTCTGTTTTGAGTTAGTTTTTGTATATGGTATTAGGCAAGGGTCCAGCTTCATTCTTTTGCATGTGGATATCCAGTTTTCCCAGCACCATTTGTTGAAAAAACTTAGTCACATGGTTTATTGATGCCCCATGGTTAGGGACTCCACTTTTAACAGGATCCAGTAGCATGCTAGAAGCTGTTTTTCAAATGTTATATAATTCTGAGCTGTAAATAGCATAGTTTTGTTCCTGATTCTCAGAGGGCTTTTGTCACGATTCTTCTAATGGGGCTTGCCATAAACTCCACTGGCACCTTGTCCCACCACAGATACCATAGGATCTACCAGGTCATATGTCCTGAGCTGCAGAGCTGTTTCTACCATAACTTTGACCTGATGAGCCTCCTTTCAACACTAGGCCACACTGAAAGCTTACCTTCCGTGTCACTTGATATATGGGTCAGAGCAGTATTCCAAAGTATGGAATATGTTGTCTTCAGAACCTGAAGAGTCCTTCCAGGCATTACGCTTCTTTCTTTGTGGTAATAGGTGTGATGCACTAATTTGTCATTTACTTTGGAGGGAATGTCCTGGCTTGCCTAGATCAGACCCCTAAAAACTTCAGTGATATGCTTTGTAAGCTTTATCTTCAACCCTGTGGAGCATACATATCTTACCAAGGGTTCCAGTGCACTTGTGATTTCCTGTTCATGCAGTCTGATTTAATAAGATACCATAAATAGTGAACTAATGTGAACTGTGGAGTAGCCCAGATCCAGGTCCTTTTATACTGTATTAACAGAGAGCAAAAGAATTAACTTTGGAGTTCCCAGCCTCAGAAACTGTAAGCAATATATTTCGTTTTCTTTATAAATTACCCAGTTCCAGGTATTTTGTTATAAGCCACAGACATGGACTAATACAACTGGCTTGGGGGCTGGCAGGTTAGTTTAGTCAGTTAGAGCATGGTGCTGATTAACACCAAATTCTAGGGTTCAAACCCTGTACCTGCCATCTGCCAAAAAAAACCAAAAAAACCCCCAAAAAACTGGCTTGGGTCTCTGGAAAATGGGACAGAGCTTATGAGTTTGTGTGGGTACCTCTTTTCCATATTCGATTTGTTCTGTTTTGGTTTTTTGGGGGGGTGGTTTTTGGTGACTTGCCTGTACAGGGATCTGAACACTTGAACTTGGTGTTATCAGTACCACACTCTACTGAGCGAGCGAGCTAACTGGCCATCCCTGATTAAAGAAAGATGAGACATGGTAAGATAACAAAAACACAAGCTTGGAGCAGAATTACAAACCCAGGTCTTGTATTCTCAACCCTATACCAGTATTTCCAACCACTGGTTACAACAATTTAATGGGTTGTCAAATCAATTTAGTTTATCATGACCAGAAATTTTAAAGATTTCAGCATAGAACAGAAAATTAGCCAAGAACATGTAGAGAGTAAACATTATTTCATGATATTTTTCAGTTATATGTGTATATATGTACTAGGTCACAATGTAAAACATATGTCTTAATGTGAGATACTTCAAAAATGTATGAAAATCATTGATCTAATATTGCCTCCCAGGGAAAAAATAAGCAGATTAATTAATTTTTTTTTTTTTTTAAAGATGACCGGTAAGGGGATCTTAACCCTTGACTTGGTGTTGTCAGCACCACGCTCAGCCAGTGAGCGAACCGGCCATCCCTATATGGGATCCGAACCCGGGGCCTTGGTGTTATGAGCACCGCACTCTCCCGAGTAAGCCACGGGCCGGCCCTATCCATCTGTCTTGCTCCTAGAAATACCATGTTCTATAAACCATCTTCATTTACTGGCTCAGAAATCCTTTTTTTTGAGTTTGCTTCCTTGGTCCAATCCTGATATCAGCTGCCTTTGGTTGGGTTTCCTGGGAAACAGACTGCACAGTGGAGATTTGCTTGCAGCAAGTTTATTGGGGACTGCTCTAAGGAATAAACCACTATGAGGAAATAAGAAAATTGGGCAGAGGGAGAACTTAAAAGTGTGATCTGTTACAACAGTCCTCAGCCAACACCACAGGGGATTCTGAAGCTGGGGTGGCCCATCAGAGATATCCTGAATCGTGGCTGGAGGTTTGGATTTTTGTGCTACCTCATTGAGCAAGCACTGGATCCAGGCTGTCCTTGAGAAATGGAAGGCATAAACTTGGCTGAGGCAGTTTTCTTTGGCTGAGAGCAGTTCTGGAGAGATATTCAACTGTGAGCCATCAGCAGGCAGCATCCCTGGTAGTTGGGGGAATGAGCCCATCAGTCCTGAAAAGTACACCTCAGCATCCAACACAGCTCCCTTCTAGAACGAGCTAAGAAATTATTTCCTGGCCCCTTCTCTCTGAATTCCTGAATGTCTTAAAAAGTAGAGCTACTATGTAAATCCTATTCAATTTTAATTTGAAGTTACTATTGTTTTGAAAACAAGTCAGAAGGGGGATCTTTTAAACAGAAAAGGTTACTTACTCAGGATACATAATGTGTGCTTACTTTCTGTGAGAATTTCAGGGAGATAGAAGACAAGAAAAAGATTCAGAATCTCCTGGCTCTTGTGGGAACAGACACTGGAGAGGTGACCTATTTTTATAAGGAGCCTCCCCACAAAGTAAGTAATCTGTGTTATAGCATGGTGAGTGTGGTTTTTACAAAATACAGGTTAGGGTCCATAATCAGAACACTTTGGTACTTGTTAAAGAAGACAGGGAATTAGCTATCATAGTCCCATGTGTACCTGAGTTTTGAAAGCATTTTTTGTCAAAAACCTGGGGAAGTAGCATTGTTTACACCATTCCACTGTTTAGAAACCTAAAGCATAGAGTGGTAGATGTTTTAGCTGAGATTAGAGAGGAGAGTAGAAGCAGACTTTGTGTGGGAGAAAGTTTCACTATTTAGTTTTCTTTTTTAATCTTTGTTTATGCTGATTACATACATAATACATGGTCTTTATTAGAAAAAACACAGAGTACAGAAATCTATCATGTAAGATAGATTTTGTCTCTCATAAACCTATACTCCAGAGATAAACGATTATTCATAGTATGTTTACTTGCAGCTTATTTTCCATTCATATAGAAATATTTGTGTGTGTATATGCTATTTCCATTTTTTCACTTCTATAAATAGTTTCTCAATGAGCATTTTTATGTATATCTAAACATGCATATTTCTCTTTTTCTATTACTTTCCTAAAAGTTCTTGTCAGAGGTTTTTTTTTGGTTTTTTTTTTTTTTTTTACTTTTTTAGCATATGTTGCTAAATAGCCCTGCAATTTTATTTTATTTTTTTAGTTTATATCATTAACACTGGATTTTATTCAGTTTGTTACACTGCCAATGTGGTCTCTTGTATGTGTGACATCCTTATGTGATTATATCAATTTTGACCAATTTAACTTATAGATAGTGTTTGACCTACAGAATTAAGGCTAAAAAGTAAAATATTACATTTATAGGAAGGCTATTTCTATACTTTTTTTTTGCTTCAGGTCAGCATTCACCAAAAGACGATCCAGGCTGTAGGTATTTGTGAACAGAATGAATCTTCAGCTTTCAAAGCAGGTAACAACTATACTATTAGAAATTCTCATTGTTGCAGGATTGAAAATCACACTGCAAATAATTAGAAATTTTTTCCTATTATACAGTAATTGATGTTCATAATGATGCCTCTGATGGTCTAAGATTTATCTTACTAAGCTTCTTGAATTAGCTGAGAAATTAAATTTTATTTAGTACAATTTTTAGCATTTTTTTTTTTTAAAGATGACTGGGAAGGGGATCTTAACCCTTGACTTGGTGTTGTCAGCACCATTCTCCCCGAAGTGAGCTAACCGGCCATCCCTATATAGGGATCCGAACTCGTGACCTTGGTGTTATCAGCACCGCACTCTCCCAAGTGAGCCATGGGCCAGACCCTAGCACAGCTTATTTTTAAAATAACTTTGTCTTTTAAAAATTGTGTGATAGGAGGCTGGCGGGTTAGCTCAGGTGGTTGTCACAGGTTCGGATCCCCGAACTGGCCAGCTATGCAAAAAAAAAGAAAAACGATAATAACATAAGACTGGGCCTCCTGAGAGAACTCAGGCAATCACTTCTTTCAACCAAGTGCTCAAAGTAGCTATTCTGTGGGGCCTGGGAGAGATATAAAACAGGGAGTAAGCCGTTTAGGCGAGGAGAAAAGATATTTCACAGAAAAAGAAATCTGACACTTGAAAGGCTCAGTTTCTGGTCCCAACAGTAGATTCCAAAGAAATCCAGAAGAGGAAAGAGATCATCTTGCACCTCTCAGTTTTGGGTTGGCCAGTTAACTCAGTTGGTTAGAGTACAGCCTTATAACCCCAAGGTAACGGGTTACCCCAAGGTACTAGGTTCAGATCCCTGCACCAGCCAGCCACCAAAAAAAAAAAATTTTGTGATAGGTTATAACCAAAATGTTTAAATTTCATTTTTCTTGTTCCTTACCCATTATGATTAGATAGGATTTTACTGAGAAAATGGACAAAACTCCAAAGAAAATTTATTTTATATGTACTTATTTATTTATTTTTGCAGCTGGCTGGTACGGGGATCCAGACCCGTGACCTTTGTGTTATAAGGCTGCTCTCTAACCAACTGAGCTAACTGGCCAGCCCAAAAAGGAACTTTAGTAGTTGATTCTGCTGAAAGATGAATATGATTATTCAGGTGACTTCCTACAGAGTTCCCTTATAGGAATTACTGTCTGAAAAATTAAGCACTGTAGTTATGTATGTTTTCCTTTTCCTTCCTTTTCTTCTCTTATAGGTAAATAAAACGGAACTCCACTGCAAGGGTGATGCTGATAGTTAAAAAGCGGAAAGAAAATCTGAGTAAAGTCTTCCTGATGAGATTTTGTTTTCTATTTTAGATCCTAAAGTAAGCAAAAGAAGACCAGCAATGAGAGAGAGGGAAGAAAGTTCTGAGCATTACCAGAGAGACGTACAGACACTCATCCTACAGGTAAAGTATTTATTTTGGCAGACCAAGGTGGTTTCTATCCACAAGTTTAGCTTTGTATAATGCAACTTCATTGTCATGTGATAAGTATTCCTGCACACAAGGTACATCTAGGCATCATTTGATTAAGAAAATTGAGGTTGTTCCTAATTGTGAAGAGCTTATATTTTAAAACATTATCTATTTGAACATTCTAGAAGTGCTACTCTGAACCTTCAGCTCATACCCAGTAAAACTATTGTAATAAGAATTTACTTTGTTGGGGCTGGCCAATTAGCTCAGTTGCTTAGAATACAGCCTTGTAACACCAACGTCAAGGGTTCAGATCCTTTCATTGGCCAGCTGCTAAAAAAAGTGTTCACTTTGTGACTGGCCTAAGGGAAGCAGAGAGTTGGAGAAGGAAGCTTGTCTATGCTAACTGATCAGCATTAGGGGGTTTATTTATTTAGTGCCTGGGGTCTAAAGCCTAGGAAAGTAATGAATCATTTTCTTACCACCTAGTAGTTGTATGTCATTTGGAGCTGTGATTTTTCATCTAGTTGCAGTGAAGTTCCTGTCCTCATCAGGGTAGGGGTCCATTGATTTAAATGATAGTTTCTACCTTTGGCCAATATTTCCATGTATAGTCATGACAGCCAGGCTCAGAGAAGGAAATTACATTATATTCATTTAACTCTACTTTTTTAAACCAAAAACTAAGAAAGTCATTCTGTTTCTGTGCAACTAGGACATCTTAAAAAAGAGATAGTCCTAAAAGTCCAAAAGGGAGACAGGTGTTATAACACCAAGGTCAAGGGTTCAGAACCGCATACTGGCCAGCCACCAAAAAAAAAAAGGAGGGACAGTGAAAAGGCAAGAATTGTAGGGTAGGGGAGACTGCATTTTGTAGCTTTCTTTATGTGATATAGATGTTGGACTCGGTGTTGACAAAGAGTCTACTCTTGTGTAGCCTAACCCCATTTATCAGACATTAAAAAGAGGGGATTAGAAGGAGGCCGGCCTATGGCTCACTTGGGAGAGTGTGGTGCTGATAACACCAAGGCCACGGGTTTGGATCCCTATATAGGGATGGCCGATTAGCTCACTTGGGAGAGCATGGTGCTGACAACACCAAGTCAAGGGTTAAGATTCCCTTATCAGTCATCTTTTTTAAAAAAAAAGAGGATTAGAGTTGAGATTTTTCTACTGTTTGTTTTCCTGCTATGTTTTTGTTTTGTTTTGTTTCTTTCTTTGCTTGTGTTTGTTTTTAAAAACGTCTTGAGAGAAAGGCTTCCTTTCAGAAGTGTGAAACAAGCGAAAGCAGGAGTGGATGCCCACCCCTTGTTGGCCTGTCTAGGTGGAAGCGCTGCAGGCTCAGCTGGGAGAACAGACCAAGCTTTCTAGAGAACAAGTTGAAGGGTTCATGGAGGATAGACGGATTCGCCTTGAGGAAATACAAGTTCAGCATCAAAGAAATCAGGACAAAATCAAAGAGCTAACCAAAAAGTGAGTGTTCAAGAAAGCTGTACTTAACAGGTGTTTTTTCTTTTGAGTGGCTTAAAAGTTAGCAGTTTGGTACTTTAGCAGCATAGGATCATAGAACTGAAAGGGACTTTGAAAAAGTTGTTTTCTTCAGACACCCTTGCCTCTAGGTAGGTGAGTGTCCAGGCTTTTCCAGGAATGCTTTTAATTCCCCTCTTGAAGAGCTGGTGAGTATTCTAAATGCTCCTTTTAACCCATTGTAGTGTTTTAGCTTAATTCTAGTGGTTAAGAAATGTTCTTTTGGGCTGGCTGTTTAGCTCAGATGCTCAGAGCGTAGTGCTGGTAACACCAAGGTCCAGGGTTCAGTCCCTGTACCGGCCAGCCAAGAAAAAAAAGAAAAAAATCTTCTTTTATCCATTCATAAATTATCTGACTCAATGTAACATGGCTCTTTTGTTTGGCCCTTCATGAATATGTAAAACATGACTTTACATACCTATACAAAAAAACTGCAAACTCTATACTCAAGGTTTTTGTTCCTTACCTGCTTGCCTTCCTCACCTTTCTGCCGTCTGTTTTCATCCTCACCATTTCAGTAAACATGCCCTTTGTAAGGTCATCATTGACTTCATCAGTTCTACCACCAGTTCTCTCTTTTCAGCCCTCGTTGTCATTGGTATCTTTCTGCATATTTGGCATTGCTGATCATCCCCTCCTTGAAATTCATCACCCTTGATTGCTGCAGCACCTGTCTTTCTTGGTTCTTTGGCCTGCCTGACCGTCCTCAGCCTTTTGTCTGGTTCCAGTGGCCAGACCTGTGCCATAAAGACATCCTCTGGTGAATATGTTTGAACGCTAAAATTTGCATTACTGAATCCAAACCATGTATCTCTCCCAACAAACACCCCTCCCCTATCTCAAATCTACTACTTTCTTCTTTTTCCCATTTAGTTTTATGGCTTCACATCCATCCGGTTTTCCAAGCTTGAAACCGCAGTATCATCCTCAACTCCCACTCTCTTATTCCTTAACTCCACACCCTGTGGACTGGAAGCCTGAGACACCTCTCAGATCCATCTCTGCGCTCTCATTCTCACTGCACTGATTCCAGCTCTTCTGTTTTGTTTAAATTGTCACAGTGATCTAACTGTTCTCTCTGTCCTGGTCCCTTTGTATTCTACAGTCTCCCTCACTGCTGTGAGTTAGTTCCTCCATTAGGAGTTATCAAACTGCTTAAAAACATTGCCACCTCTCCATTTACCTTATGAAGTCTTGATGCCTTAGCATGAATTATTAGGAACGTCATCATCTGACAGCAAATTAACCTTTCAGCCTTAACTCCTCCCCTGTTGCGTAGTTCACCTTGTGCTTCAGCCACACTAATCATAGCTGTTGTTTATGGAACACTTATTATGTGGCAGGCACCTTGCTAAGCGATGTCACCCCTTCTCTGAAGTCTTCCCCGGGCCATATTAAGTTCTTCTTCCTCAGGCCGGCCCGTGGCTCACTCGGTAGAGTGCGGTGCTGGTAACACCAAGGCCCCGGGTTCGGATCCCATATAGGGATGGCCGGTTCGCTCACTGGCTGAGCGTGGTGCTGACAACACCAAGTCAAGGGTTAAGATCCCCTTACCGGTCATCTTAAAAAAAAAAAAAAAAATTGTCTTCTCAAACTTTTCTGGTGTCTCTTCCTCCATTTTAAACTGTGGTGATTAAAATTGGACATGATACTCAAATTGGGATCTCCGGCCAATACAGGGTAGAAAATGTCTTCTGACCCTTGCTGGCTATATTTCTTTCAACATAGTGTAATGTGTTTGCATTTGGCCAGTACTTCTCCATCTTTATTTTTATTTTTGTTATTTTTGTACTTAAGCATAGCATCTTGACTTTTCATTGGGTTTTAATTGTTTTTAAGGGAACGTTTTTTAAATTTTCACAGTAATTTGTAATTTTATGCTCTCCAGAATATTAATAACCATCCTACTTTAGCATTTTCTGCATAACAGAGCACATGACCAGTTCCTTCCATTAGCTAGATCATCCTAAGGATATTGAATGGCACGAAATCCAAGGCCATTAATGACTGCCCTTTGAATGTCGCTTTCAAACCATTTGTACATTAACAATACCATACATTCCCAGTTTGTAATTGAGAACGTTAATTGAGAATGTAATGTAAGACAGAATAAAATAACTCATTGAAAGCAGGAGAGATCCTTGTGGTGACTGAATCAAGCTCTCCCTCTTTCTATATATACACAAACGTACCTGAATAAACACATATATTCATCTGGTGATATTTACTCTACTTTGTGCCTGGCACTATGCTATAATTTTCCCCTTATCTATATACCTGTTACTCATAAAAAGAACTAAGTGGACCTGACATTATTCGTTCAGTAGAAAACTATAGTGATTGCTCGTGATATCTAATACTCTTACAAGCAGTTAGATCATTCAATATAGTATTTTTCTAGGTGTTGATGTTAAGCTGATGAGTTGCTAACTTTCAGGGATATTCTTTTTTAAAGATAGAAACATCATTTGTTTATTCTTAAATCTCAAGAAATAGTCAACAGGAATCTGTTTAGTGCCTTGTGTATGTCTAGTAGTTGGTACTGGCCTTGACAATCTGGTGGTAGTCGGGCAAAAATAAGTGATAAATGAGGTACACGCTTTCACTCAGGCTGGAAAAGCATGCAGGTTGACAGTTAAAATATGACATGGTAGGGGCCGGCCCGGTGGCGCAATGGATAGTGCGCTGCTTGGGAAGCGCGGCGGCGCTCCCGCCCGAGGGTTCGGATCCCACATACAGGCCGGTTCCCGCTCACTGGCTGAGCGAGGCGCAGGAGCAGCGCCGAGGTTTGCGGTCCCGGGTCCGGTACGGGGGCAACACTGAGGGTTGCGATCCATTGCCGGACACGGAAAAAGACAAAAGAGAAAAAAAAAAAAAAAAAAAAAAAAAAAAAAAAAAAAAATATGACATAGTATATAAGCAAGTGTTGGATTATAAGTCAGGGATATATATTAAAATTGAAACAGAATTTCAGAGAATGAACAAAATTAAAATGGGCTAAAGTATTGAGATGACTTCATAGAGAAATTGATCTTGAAAAAAGGACAAGGTTTTGATATAGGGGACTTACATGTGGAGCACAGCACAAACAAAAGCAAAGCTGGTTTTGCTATTTTAGAACTTGTTTTCTCCCTCAGTCAGAACATCATGATTTAGTTCTTCCTTGTATTATTCCTAGGAATAATCCATACTTATGCAGGCAGTGTGTGAATGTTTCTGTAGTTCTTCTAATCATTTAGCCTGAAATTAGCACTCAGGAAAAATCTGTAAAGACCAGTCCATGAACCAGTGAGCATTACTCTTTGCCTAATAAAACAAGTAAGACTGCCAGTGATCAGACTAACTGTATTTTTAAAACTGCTAATAATATTATACAGAATTTATATATTGTACAATTTTAAAAGAACCTATATCTTCCCTCTTGGAGTCAGCCTATATTTTAGATGTGCTGTGTAAGCATTTCATGTCTACTTTTGAACTTTCTTTCATAGTCTCCATCACACCCAAGAACTGCTCTATGAGAGCACCAGAGACTTTTTACAACTCAGATTTGAAAACCATAATAAAGAGAAGTCATGGATGCTTGAAAAGGATCATTTGATGTCAAAGATTAAGCAATATAGAATGCAGTGTAAGAAGAAAGAAGAGAAAATTGGAAAAGTTTTGCCGGTTTTACATGACAGTCACCATACCCAAAATGAATATATTAAGGTAATGTCCTTATATCTGACAGAAATTGTTTATTTTTCTGGAAGAGTGGAAAGAACTGAGAGAATTCCAAAGAAACTTCACATTGTCATATATGATCTATTCAGTTTGGCCAGTTAGCTCAGTTGTTTAGAGTGCAGTGTTATAACACCAAGGTCAAGGGTTTGGATCCCCATACTGGCCAGCTACCAAAAATGTGTGTGTGTGTGTGCGTGCGTGCGTGCGTGCGTGCGTGTGTGTGTGTGTGTGTGTGTGTGTATCTCCATCCAGTCCAGGAAGCTGTTGTAGCAGCAGACTCAAGAAATAGGTTTCAAAGCCTGGCCGATTAGCTCAGTTGGTTAGAGCACAAACTTATAACACCAAGGTCACAGGTTCAGATCTCTGTACCAGAAATAGGTTCCAAAGAATAGCTGATCATTACAGTGTTTGGGATTTAAAATATTAGACTACTGATTGATTGATTCATTCATTCAGCAAATACTTATAGCACTCCTACTATGGATGTAGTGGATTGCATGTCCCCCCCGAACTCATCGAAGCTTGAATTGTGTCCTCCAAGTTTTATCTATTAGAAACTTGTCCCCCACTGTGACTGTTAAGAGGGTGGGAAACCCTATTATGGAAATTGAAAGATGGGCCTTGAAAAGGTGATTGGATTGTAGGACCGTGCCGTAGTGAATGGAGTAAAAACAGTGGGCAGGGGTGTGGTTCTGAGGGCTTTAAAAAGAGAGTGAATGAGGAGGTTGCTCCCTCTGCCCTCTCTGCTTTCACCATCTTGCAATGTGAGGGGTCATTGTCGCCACCACCAGATGTGTTCCTTAGACTTTGGACTTCCCAGCCTCAGAAACTGTAAGCAAATAAATTTGTTTTCTTTATAAATCATCCAGTTCTGTGTATTTTGTTATAAGCAACAGAAATGACTAATGCAGTGGGCTGGACTCTCGGGCTACAGCGGTAAGTAAGCTAGACAAGGGCTGCTTTAATGGTGTTTATATTTTAATGGGTGAGAAAGAAACATTAACAAATAACCAAGAAAATTACGGATTATATAAAAGTGGTATTAAGGGAATAAAATAATTATATGAAGGTTGTACATAGTTGTCGGAAACCTACTTTATTTAGAAGGGAACCCACAGGGACCCTATTACATTTAGTGTTTTTGCTGAGATCCCAAAAAATGGGACTAAGATTATCATACAGACCTGGGGGAAGAACATTCCTGACAGAGGGAAAAGCTCATTTAAAAGTCCTGGAGTATGTTCAAGGAAAAAGAAAGGTGTCATCACGATTATAGAGGAAGTAACATGCAGAAAGGTTGGAGGGGTAGGAAGCAGCCAGTCATGGTAAGGAATGTGAATTTAGCTCTGAATATTGTTATGTCTTAGGAGGATTGTGTGTAAGGAAATAATATGATCTGATTTAGGTTTTTAAAAGATCATTTTGGCTGCTCAACGGAACATGTATAATAAGTGTTGTGGTTGATATTTCTTCCTTTTTAAAAAAGAACTTCAGAAATGTAGTCCGAAACATGTACTGTATTGTTTTACTTGGGACAAATGCTGAGCTCCATTATCTGACTCTTTCCAGAACCAAAAATATTTGTTTTATTTTAAAAGTTTTCTACAATATACACTTTAGAAAAAGGTCTAAGAGAATAGTCTAGAAATAGGTTTTCACATGTTCTCCAAACTTCCTGCCATCTTATTCCTTAACTTATTTTATACTTCTGGAAATCCTTTCTTTGCTTTCCCTTCTTTCTTTACCTAAGTGCTATTTGAATTACCTAAATTGTAGAACTGAGTATTAATGTTTTTTGTCCTTTGACCTGCAGTCCCTAAAGGATAAGTTAATACAAGAGAAAAAGCTGTCTAACATGTACCAAGAGCAGTGCATTTCCCTAGAAGAAGAACTTGCCCGAATTCGTGAGGAAGAGGGTGTAAGGAGAGAGATCTTCAAGGTACAAAGTTCTATCTACTTGTGATGGAGCGGGAAGAACAGATGACGTAGGGAAATGCTTCCCTCATCTTCATAAATGCCTTCCCGATCCCCATCTCTAGGATCGCACTAACAGGATGGGCAAGCGTTTACAGATAATGACAAAACGCTATGAGGCCTTGGAGCGTCGCCGTATCTTGGAAGTAGAAGGCTTTCGGACAGATATTAAGGCTCTCCGACAGAAACTGAAAGACTTGGAGCAAATGCTCTATAAGGTAATTGCTGATCCTGAATTATCGCGAGGGAGAGAAGGCGTGGGAGTGAGGAAACATGGTCATGAGGGCTCCTCAGAAGAAGGGTGTGCTGTTTCCCTGCTCTAAGACACTAACAAGGTACCATCCTCTAAGCTCCCTGAAAATCAGTTGCACAAGCACACACTAGAGGGAAAACAAAAATAGACTGAAGTAATTGAATGACGGTATCATTAATACTTCCATCCAAGCTCAACTTCACAGAAATTGTTGTCTCTCTCAATTCAAGGAGATTGAAGGATTTATGTCTATTTTACAAATGGGGAAAGTGAGTAATTGCACAATAAAGTAATTTTTTCCAGTCAGACATAGCTTTTTAGAATCCAAGTTACAGCTTTGCGCAATGGCAGTATCATCACCAAGAGGTTTATCCAAGGCTCAGATATTGCTGATAGGATCCAAGTTGCCTCAGGAGCCTTCTTGAAGAGATATAACCAATCACCTACATATCTTTAGTGATCACTGTGTGCCCAGCAAGGTTAACTATAGAAAAGATGAGATGCTTTCTTTGATTCTTTGGCAGATTTACCAGTAATGTGTTTTTTTGTTTTTTGAGTTTTTTTGGCAGCTGGCCTGTACAGGGATCCAAACCCTTGCTTGCCCTTGGTGTTATAACGCCACGCTCTAACCAACTGAGCTAACCGGCCAGCCCCGTAATGTTGTTTATATTGGTCTCTTCTTTTTACTATTTGTTAGGTGTTCATTGGTCTATCTCTCAAGGCTCCTTTACTATTGTATGGTATTAGTTAGTCACTGAACAAACTAAGGGTTCAATTTATCTTATGTACTAAAAATCCCATAAAAAGGAGCCACCTGGTGTTTATGACTGACTTCTCTACCCTGGCATATGCCATAAGCATTTCTTCTTTTTCAAATCTGTAGGCAACAATTAATTCCCGGGCAAACCAGGATCTTGCCATTCTGTGTGAGGTTCGGGACAGCAATAGACGGGCACATAAGATACAAGGAGAACTGAAGAACCTTAAGTCCAAAGTGTTTGGTTTGGAGAATGAACTTCGACTCTGTTGATGTCTACTTCTGGAACTGGCCTCTGTTTGGAAGAGGTCTGCTTCCTGAAGCCTGAGAAGGTCATCTGTTCCCAGAAGAAACCTAGAGTTGACTAGAGTCGTGGTATCCATTATTATAAAGATAGAGCGAACAATCAGGAACCACTGAAAAAGCTTTTCCTGGAGGCTAAGCTTTATTTATAATTTTCACTGTCCTGTTGACATTTTGGGGGGTCAGGATTATAAACTGATTAATTAGTGGCTTTCCCACATTATTTCTCCCATTCTGACAGGTGTGTGTATTTTTTTAAGAAGACAATGATGAAAACAGGAAGAAAGCATTTTGCTGTGAGCTTGGCTGAGTGTCAGTGGGAAGAAGGCTTAGCCTAAAGAGACGAGGGACACGCTGAGGTCGCCTTTCTCCCAGGCAGAGACAAGGCTGCAGGTCACACAGCTCGTCAGATTTGATTTTTTTCAGTCAGATATCCAGTCTCATGAGGTTTCAGCAGAGGGCACTAGAGACCCTAGTCTTAAGCAAAATGTTCACCTGGAAGAATAGAGGTGCCGCTTGGGCAAGAGGGAGTGAAACTGAAGACCCTTCTATGAAAAGTTTGCATTTTGTCAATAACATGGTTTTTAAAAAATAATGTATATTTTAAATTAACTATTTTTAATAAAATATGTAATTGAAAAATGTTCTACTCATGTTTTCTATAATTTCTTATTAAAACCATGTTTATGCTTGTTGGTGATGACCTCAGTTTACTTTTTAGTTCCGTGGTTTGTACAGGTGACAAGTTTTTCTAAGTGATTCCCTGAAATCATCTGGTGTTTGAGGTAGCAAGGGTAGTACAAAGGTGATAACACTAAAACTTTATCCATTCTCAGGCAAATTGCTGTGCATTTGAGACAGAATAATTATGGACCTGGATGGCCTGTGGGAAGTGAGTTGGTCTTAGCTTAGTATAGCAACATTCTCATTTACTCAGGAAAGAGCTCAGATTTTTATATTTGTGTTAAGGAAAGTGGTGATTGAACTGCCAGCAGGAGGTGTTACATTTTTTGAAAAGGTTTATGTTAGCAAATCAGTGCTTTTCATTGATAAATCCCAGGGGGTCCCCAGTCCCAGGCCTTAGAGAGGTTTACATAAGTGGATGGTTCTTCCTTTTGTCCTAATACTTAGGGAATTGGCTTTTCATGGCTGTTGTGTTTTCGATACTGTCAAAACAAAAAGACTTATTAAATCAGAGAATTTCAGAGTAAAAGAAACCTTAGATATCATATAATCCAACTTACTTATTTTATGTATGACTCTGAGGCCTATCACCATTGACTTAGCAATCGGTTGATAATGTTTCTCACATCCTGGCCTCAGTTCCGATGCCATTCATCTTCATATTAACCAAAAGGCAGCACACCGTAGTGTAAAGAGCACAGGCTTTGGAGAAGCACAGGTTTAGGTCAGTCACGCCACTTACTAAGACTCTCTAGGCTCTAGTCTCTCATCTGTAAAACAGAGAGAAACCTACCTGTTTCAGCAGGGTGATTGTCAGGACTGGGAAAGAGAACATCTAGTATCTAGAATATAAAGAACTCTTACAAGTCAATAAAAAGACAACACAAAAAATGGGCAAAGGGGGCTGGCTGGTTAGCTCAGCTGATTAGAACACAGTGTTTAACACCAAGGTCAAGGATTCACATCCCGTCACTAGCCAGATGCCAAAAAAAAGGGCAAAGGATCTGAATAGACATTTCCCTAAAGAAGATACATGAATGGCCAATTAACACATGGAAAGACACTCAATATCATTAAGGAAACCAAAACAACAAGACATCACTTCACACTCACTAGGATGGCCGCAATAAAAAAGACAGTAACGGGGCTGGCCAGTTAGCTCAGTTGGTTAGAGCATGGTGTTACAACACCAAGGTCAAGGGTTTGGGTCCCCATACAGGCTAGCCATGAAAAATAAAAAGACAGTAACAAGTGATAGGGATGTGGAGAAACTGCATAGCTGGTGGAAGTATAAAATGGTGCTGCTGCTTTGAAAAACTCTGGCAGTTCCTCAAAAAGTTAAGCATAGAGATACCATATGACCCAGAAGTTCCACTCCTTGAATATATGCCCAAGATAAATGAAAACATACATCCACACAAAAAACTACATGGATGTTCATAGCGTTATTGATAATGGCCTAAAAGTGGAAACAACACAAATGTCCATTAGCTGGTGAATGGATAAACAACATGTGGTACTGTATGTCCTTACAGTGGAATATTATTCAGCCATAGAAGGGAATGAGTATTGGTGTTAACACACCGAGGTCCAGGGTTCAAGCCCTGTACTGGCCAGCCACCGAAAAATTAAAAGTTTTAAAAATTAAAAAATAAGGCCGGCCTGTGGCTCACTCGGTAGAGTGCGGTGCTGATAACACCAAGGCCACGGGTTTGGATCCTATATAGGGATGGCCGGTTTGCTCACTGGCTGAGCGTGGTGCTGACAACACCAAGCCAAGGGTTGAGATCCCCTTACCGGTCATCTTTAAAAAAAAAAAAAAAAAAAATTAAAAAATAAGCCAGAAACAAAAGGCCACATGTTGTGTCGTGATCCCATACACACAAAATGTTCAGAATAAGCAAATCTGTAGAAACAGAAAGTAGATTGGTGGTTGCCAGGGGCTGAGGAGAGGGGGAAGATAAGGACTGATGGCTAATGGGTACAGGGTTTCTTTTGGGGTGATGAAAATGTTCTAGGATTAGTGATGATGGTTGCCAAACTCTGAATATACTAAAAAACCACTGAACTGTACACTTACAAGGGTGCATTTTATGGTACATGGTTTACATATCAATATTTTTTTTTAAAGAAAAGGTCCGTGAAATGGCTTAGCCTGGTGTGTAGCACATAGTGGGCTTTCAATTACCATGAACTCTTATCTATGTTTCCCACCATTGTCAGTCAGATTCCAAGATCTATTTAATACCATTCATTCCTTCATTCAGCAATTTATTAAGTGTTTTTGTTTATGTACTAGAAATTGTGTTAGATCTTAAGTTTATAGAGAACACTAAACCAGTTCTTGTGCTCCAAAGGTTAGTGGGAAAGAGAAACAGAGAGAAAACTCAATTTAGTAGTGAAGTGCAGTGCTATTGGTGCACAGGATAGAAAGCAGCAGAGAAGATGACTGACAGAAGGTATATTTGAGCTGAATCTTAATGAATTGAGTCAGACAAGAGACTGCGCATTCTAGGTGGAGGGACCACATGGGTGAAGGCCTGGAAGAACAGACTGAGGAAGCACAAGCTCAGGAGATGACATGATGTAATAAAGGACACAAGAAATGGTATGAAATTTCATTTAATATAATTATGCAAATCTTTTAAATATTTCAAAACTTTTGAATCAACTGAAAATTTGGGGGTTTACTTGAAAGAAAAAAACAAGAAAACCTGAAATATTTAGTGATATCAATTCATGCATGAAATGCAAACTCATCTTAAAAATTATGGGTGGGGAAGAAGCATTGTGCAACAATAAATGTATAAAATGTTTATTTCCTGGATGTATTAGTCTGTTTCTGTTGCTTATAACAAAATACCTGGAACTGGGTAATTTACAAAGAAAACAAAATTTATTGCTTACAGTTTCTGAGGCTGGGAAGTCCAAAGTCTATCTGGTGGTGGTGACAGTGACCCAGGGGCCTCACATTGCAAGATAGTGGAAGCAGAGAGAGCAGAGCAGAGCAAGAGAGACTCTCCTCTTCTTTTAAAGTCCCCAGAACCACGGCCCTGACCACCATTTTTAATCCATTCACTACTGCAGAGTCCTACTGCAGATCAGGGTGAAGCAAAATCACTTAGTACCAAGATTTACTGCAGTATCTGCAGGAACAGCGAAGGATGGTGCAAAATATCCTTTGGAAAAAACCATTAGTGTCATCTGCTTTGCCTTTTAAAAGTTCTCTTTTAGACTACATGAGTAACTTAGTAATAAGTCACCTTTTTATCCATGAAATTTACATGATTTTTCACAACATAAAATAGCCTCTGGCTATGTTATTTTTGGCCCGGTCTTATGATACTCACCACCTCTCCACCCACACCACACTAGTTGAGCTACCAAGATTTACTGTAATATTTGCAATATAGCAGATTGTACTGTCACCACTCACTGCATATAGGAATAGAAGGAAGGAGATGACTACTGTCCTTAGAAGAGGAATTCAGGGCCTAAGCTAAAGGCAGACATTGACAATAGAGAGGAAGGGACAGATTTGAGAAACATTTAGGAGTATAATGGGCGTCATATCTTTGTGACGGATGAGATGTGAGGGTTAGGGAAGAGTTAAGGATGGTTCTCTAACTCCAAAGTTCCTGGCTTGGGAACCATGTGTACATTGACACCATTAACTGAGATTCAGCATATATGAGAAGCAGTAGGTTTCCAATAAATTTGGGAATAGGAATATGGAAGTCAGAAGAAGTTAGGATTAAAGATAGAGATTTGGAATTATTAACATATAGAGATCATTGAAATCATGGATCCAAGCCATGGATGTGGGTGAGATCAGAGATGGCAAGCATACAGAACAAGAAGAAAAGAGGACCAAAGAGCAGAAACCCTGATGGTCGGAGGAGGGGTGGGCTCTAATGAAGGAGTAGTCTGGATAACGAGAGAATAGTGTCCTGGAAATCTAGAGGAATGAAAACTTCAAGAAGTAAGAGGGTGGCAGCAGTGTCAAACGCTGAAGAAAAAATAAGGTAAATTAGAATTGAAATTTGAGAATTTAGTAGCAGGTGAATTTAGAGCAATTTCCATGAAGAGGAGGTGGAAGTTGGCCTGTACTAGGTTGAGGGATGAGCCCAGGAGGACGATGAGAAGTGGCTTTGGAGTTGACAAAAGCAAGGAAAGGTGTTTTTTTTTTAAAAGATGACCGGTAAGGGGATCTTAACCCTTGACTTGGTGTTGTCAGCACCACGCTCACCCAGTGAGCAAACCGGCCATCCGTATATGGGATCCGAACCCGGGGCCTTGGCGTTATCAGCACCGCACTCTCCCGAGTGAGCCACGGGCCGGCCCACAAGGAAAGGTGTTTTGATAGTTTTAGGCAGGATCATGTTGGTAGGCTGAAAGGAAAGGCCAGAGGAAAGAACTGAAGGCAGAAGAATGAAAGGGATGATGGCAAATAAGATGCCGGAGGAGAGCAAGATCCAGCGCTGATGGAGGCAGTAAGAATAGATACGCTGATACCTCTGCAGAGATTACTGCCTCCTTTCCACAGAAGGCATAAAACCAAGGCCATCCACGAAAGTGCAATGAGGTGTTGAAGTGATGAAGAGCTGGAGGAGAAGTGAACGTTTGGAAAGAGAGGAGGGGGCTGATGAGGGGTGAGTGATAGACTGGTTAGGAGCAGGTCTCGATGAAGGATTTACTGAGTTGAATCGACCGCTAGTGAAAAAATTGTCTAGGATTGCAACAAGTCATGGTCGGCTTCATACAGAGCCAAAATGGATCTAGAAGAGCAGACCAGCAGAAAAAGAGGCAGGTGAAGAGAGGGAGCCAGAGGGAGGGTTTGGCTGCCGAGTGAAGGGAGGCCCTGCAAAGAAAATGTTTTGAAAGGGGTTTTTTAAGTCTCTGTATGAAAACATTTCTTTCTTTTTTTTTTTTTTTTTTAAAGATGACCGGTAAGGGGATCTT